TTCCTCCCGGAAAAGTGGGTGAGGAAGCGTTGAGCAAGGTCCTGCCATGAGTCGATGCTCCCCTCCGGAAGGTTGTTGAACCAATCGTACGCTGGTCCTTCCAAGGTGGAGAGGAACCAGCGACACATGTATTCTTCCAAAGCGTTTGTCATCATCATATTGTTCTGAAAGCGGGTGAAGTGCTCCTGGGAATCAGTGCGGCCGCAATATGGCTTGATCAGATTCCCCTTATACTTCTCTGGGATGGGGGCGGAGAGCACCCTCACAGAGAAGGGGGTCCTGGTCCGTATCTGGATGACGGGCTCATCGCGCCGGTCAGCCAACTCCCTTTCCAGAGCACTGACTTTGTTCAGGAGCGCGTCGTAGTTGGGATGCTGGGATGTATGGGCCGCTGTGCGCCCTGCGGCTTCCCGAGCCTCCATGTCAGCGAGGCGCTTTTCTAGGCGGGCAATGATCTCGTCCCTTGGGTCTGTGTTGGCCGCAGCGCCACCCAGTGGAACTTTACTGTTTGGGGCGGTTCCCGGTGGAGTTTTTTGATGAAATTTTTATGGAATGTTCCTCATCAAGTCTAGTTTATCCACAAAAAATTTCAGCTAAAAATTCGATCGGGAAGGCAGTCAAATAATTTTTTAAAACATAACTGCGTTTTATATGTTTAATTTGGAGCAGTTATCTTCAAAAAATTATTTGACTGCCTTCCCGATCGAATTTTTAGCTGAAATTTTTTGTGGATAAACTAGACTTGATGAGAAACATTCCAAAAAAAATTCATAAAAAAACTCCACCGGGAACCGCCCAAATGGTGGCGGCCGGACGGAAGATCCTGTCCCTCCGGCTGGACAGGATCATTCCTATATATATATATATGGTTCATCCAAAAAAAAATATAAAGGGCAAGCAGGATTTATGAAGAATAGAGATATGGCTGATTATATTTTAATTGCTCAAGAAATGATTCACTCTCTTGACAGAAAGATCAGGAGCTGTAGTATGGTTATTAAACTTGATATGGCTAAAGCTTTTGATAAAGTTTCATGGAGGTTTCTGTCTGAAGTTGTAAGGAAGTTTGGCTTCTCTGAACACTTTATTCATATCGTGATGAATAACCTTAATGCTACCTATTTGTCTGTTCTGGTTAATGACATCCCTCAAGGATTTTTTAAAGCCCTTAAGGGGAGTTAGATAAGGTGACCCCTTTCCCCTTTCCTCTTTGTTATTGCACCAAAAGGCTTTTCTAGAGGGCTGAATTGGCACTTTGAACAAGGATGAATTAAACCATATTCTCTAGAAAAAATTGTCAAATAAGTCCCTGTACTATATCCATAAAGTCAATTGAATCCTTGCACTATGAAATCACTCAATTAAGTCCTCCAATTATGGGACGTGCCTGTTTTTACTCGTTTTTTCTTTTCCCCTTTTTTTCTTGTTCCTTCTCCTTTGCCTTTCTTCATCCTCTACGACTGCGCGCAATGCTCCTAGCGACCCAGCTTCTTCTTTTTTTGTCTTACATTTTGTTTTTGTCTTTTTAATCCCCCCTCCCCATTAGGCGCTAGCATCGGGCAGCTACAAGAAGCCGGCGGCGGAATCCGGCAGCGAACTCTAGCAACGGATGCCTGCAAAAATTGTGTTCAGTTCCACGGTGCTCACTCCCGGCGTCTTCATTCTTCATCGACATTCGCGTATCCGGTATCCAGATCCCAAAGAGCTAGAGGAAGAGAGGTAGATCAATGGATGTCATGGGTCTTGAGATGGGCGGTGAACTCATCGACAATCGCGACAACGTCTTGAGATTGGCACCGTGTTCGCCGGAGAACATGGAGCCGCGAGCCAGGAAGAAGAAACTGAACAGGGACAAGAAAGAAAGAAATATAGAAAGGGAGAAACTGAACTGAACACGCCTGCAACTTCTTTCTCTGACTTTTTTCCCTTCTTTCTTGCCGGAGTTCGTTGTTAGCGTCTGTTGTCGGATTCCGCCGCCGGCTTCCAGGAGCTGCCAATATTAGCGGCTAATGAGGGGGAGAGTATAATAAAAGTGTTGAACAAAAAATGAAAAAAATGTAAGAGAAAATCAAAGTAAAGCTGGGTCGGTGGGAGTAGTACTAAATCGATGAAGAAAGGGGAGGGAGAAGGAACCAGAAAGAAAAGGAAAACGAAACAAAAGCAAAAAGAAAAAGAAAAATAAAATAAAATTAGCCACATGGCTGCCACGTGGGTGCCACATGTATGGCAAATTATACCGTGGGATCGGCCCACCATGAGCATGGTGTGCCGATCCCAAACGACATAGTTTTATTAATAAAAAAGCAACCACCTCTTGTTCGCTAGCTAGGTATAGCCGGTGCTGCACTGCCACCGGTGCTGCACTGCCACCGACTTAGTTATTACGCGGCACAAAGGGAACGTAGCGAGCAACAATTCTTCCTGGTGTCTTGACAATTAAATCGCAAACCCTAGGAGCGGATGAAACTTCATGGTGTCCTGATGTCTCTTAACGTTGCTGCCATGAGGAACTTAGAAGCTATTTAGGAATCTTCTTTACACACACACACATATATATATCTTATACAGTATTGAACAATTTATATTTTGATTTGGCTCAAGTTATATTTGAAAATACACACAGTTACATAAATTTTGTTCGCGAGTTACAATTTCTTACCCATGGTTTACATCATTCATGTACGCGAGTTACATTTGATCTTGTCTTAGCAAGTTACATTTTGCATGAGCGTGAGTTATATTTTTTATCAAGACAAGTTACATGTTCTATAACACGAGTTACATCACAAATGATTTACATTTTCCAAAACGCGTGTTACATCACAATATAATTAATGCGAGTTACACATTTTAATGAGCTAAGTTACATGTCTATTAGCGTGAGTTACATGTCAACTTTCCTAAGCAATTTACATAAACTTGCACATGATTTACATATTATTTAATACAAGTTACACCGCAATATAATTCGAGTTACACAACACAATAAGCCCCCTGATATTTAAAGAATTTTTTTAAATAAAAAATTATTTTTATGGGCTGACATTAAAAACAAACCATATACACTATTTATGTAAAATAATTGGGCAATTATACTTCTTTTTTTCATTATTTACATTGAAATCAATGTTTTACTTCTTATACTATATGTATTTGACAAGTTACATTTCGACTGGACTTGAGTTACATTGATCAATAGCGTGAGTTACATTTCTTTACACGCGAGTTACACCATAATATTATTGGGACAAAAAAGATAAAAAAAAATTAAAAGCTACTGTTCACGCGTGTTACTGTTCACGCGTGTTACTGTTCACGCGTGTTACTGTTCACGCGTGTTACTGTTCACGCGTGAATTTTTTTAATTAAAAGTTGTGCAAAACTACGCCGTTTTGAGTAGAGGAGCATGGTCCTCACAGTGGGATGATCCCACGGTATACGAACTGCACATGTATACATTAACCTGATAACCGCTACTTTACCGGTTAAAACGTAATATTGAACGATTTTTCATAGTTGGAGGATTTAATCGGGTGATTTGATAGAACGAGGACTTAATTGACTTTTCGGGTATAGTACGAGGAACTATTTGACAGTTTTCCCTATTCTCTATTATATACTACGTATTACGTATTATTTAAGCCATATATTTGGTTTTATAGTATTTATTTAATTATTTATTTATAATTCTTATTTGTGCACAGTGGCGGACCCAGAAAGTTGTAGCCACGAGGTCCGTACCCTTTTACATCTCTAATCTCTAATTCATATAAAACTAATACAAATCCTCATGTTGTTCAGGTATATTATAAGCCAAATTAGCTTCACTTTCATCAATTACCTGATCCAATTCTTCATCTATTAATGGCGAATTATTTGAATTAACACCTAAACTACTTCCGGTAGTCTGAGTTTTTTTAAATTTGGGTACAACACCAAAATATCATTTCATCCAAATCGTATAAAATTGAAAATAACATTTATAAATACATACATTTATTAATTTAATCTAACATTTAAAAACTTGTGAAGAGGCATAGGTCTAAAAACGCATAGGCCAAAATGACGTAGTTTTGGTCTATCTAATTAAAATAGTTTTGAAAAAAAAAAAGGATCCCAGGGGGATTCAAACCTGGTACCAGCAGGTAGCATGGAAACCTTAAACCTACACTTGCTCCCGTTCGCCTGCTGCATTCTTTTGGTTCTTAGGTCGTTTTTTGTGTAAATATACATGTAAAAATTAATTTTATATAATATACATATAATATTTATAGGTAATTTTTTCGAGGTGCACGGGTCCCGGGACCCCGTGGGACCCTTAGTGGGTCCGCCTCTGTTTGTGTATGTATATATGTATATTTAAAAAAAATAGATTAGCTACTTAAATTTTAAGAATAATTGCACTGTTCTAAAATGTTTAAAATTATGAGATGTTAATAAAGTAGCTACCGTTAATGTTAACGGAAAATTTTAACAGAAGGACTCGATTAATATAGATTAAATAGATTATTAAAGACTAAAATGATAGATTTGATAGTTCAAAGACTATTTATGCATTTTACTCATTGTGTTATTAACGTAAACTTCAATGTATTTCCAAAATATTTAAATACGAGGTATAATTACAAACAACAGTTTATAAACATCGGTTTGAAATGGAAGAATTGACTTTACGAGTAAGACACCTTTCATAAACACTATGGAGTATCAAACAAATACAGGTATGGAGTATCTACCATGAGAAATAACCAATTAAAAAATAATAAATAAAATATCTCTCTCCTTATGTGAAGGATCTTGTTTCATTTTGGTAAGTTTTTTCTTCACAATGTCAAGCACAATGTCTAGATGTAGACATTGTGTTTGACATTGCAGAGGAAAACTTACCAAAAACACATAAAACCGTGGATAGAATGAAAGAGAAATGTCAAAAATTCAATTTTTTGTGTCTATATCTCTCATAACACATGTACATAATGCACATTGTAGCATTGAAAGGCTCTAAATGACTTTTTTATTCACAAATCTAGGATTTAGGAACTCCCAAGGACCCATTTCCAACCAGAATGCAAATTGAAAGACCACGAAAACATCATTGTACTACTAAGTAACAGCTAAGTAACAACCCACGTGCCTGGTTTTACCTTCCCTCCCTCCCCTTCTTCAACCACCACCATCTCTCCATTCCGGCAAATACCATAATGGGAAGCGCAGGCACTGCGGCGGTGGAGGAGATAACGGAGCCTTTCTTGGAAGATGACAAGGCGGCGGCGGCGGCGGAGGTGGAACTGATTCCAGATTGGAAGGAGCAAATTACAGTGAGGGGTCTGGTGGTAAGCGCTGTGCTGGGGACGCTCTTCTGCATAATCACCCACAAGCTGAATCTCACAGTTGGGATCATCCCCTCCCTCAATGTTTCCGCTGGCTTGCTCGGCTTCTTCTTCGTCAGGACTTGGACCGCCTTCCTCTCCAAACTGGGCTGTTCTGTTCGACCCTTTACCAGGCAAGAGAACACCGTCATTCAGACATGTGTTGTTGCTTGCTATGGCCTCGCTTTTAGCGGTATTTTAATCTTCCGCATCTAAATCTTTTTTCTTTCATCGCATCTCTTCTTTATATTAGTTGGGTCGTAGTAAACATAGAGAACCTGGTTATTCGGATTCTCATCGAGCGGCTGGTGGTATTGTCAAATTAGATTCAAAATAGATGCATAAAGAATATGAAAGTAGATTCTTTAGATGATTTTGTTTATTCTATCATTTGAAAGTCAACTCTAAAGTTTGTCAACATAGTGCTCACTTTATTTGAGCTGGGGTAAGTGGGCTCTGGCATCAACAAGAGTGGCGGCTAGGAGCAATGGAGGGGTCCTACTTTAGGGCGTTTAAGCATTTAGCTTTGGGAGATGCTTTTGATTATAATTAAAACGGAATAGAATTGTTAGTTTTATGTACAGGCTCTTGCTTACCAATTTCCTTGGGGCATCGGTTCAGAGCCTAAAAGACAGTTTTTAATGGAGTAAAGCATCAGTTTGGTACTCGAAGTTGCATAAAAGGGGTCAAATAAGTCCTTATTTAGAAGATTCTGTCCGGACGTGCCATTTGAGGCGGTTCCCGGTGGAATTTTTTGATAAATTATTTTGAGCATCTTATTCATTAAGTCTAGTTTACTCATACCAAATTTCAGCTAAATATTCAATCGGGAAGGCATTCAAATCAATTCTTGAAGATAACTGCGCTTTTAACTGCACAGTTATCTTCAAGAATTCATTTGAATGTCTTCCCGATTGAATTTTTATCTGAAATTTGGTATGAGTGAACTAGACTTAATGAATACGATGATCACAAAATTTCATCAAAACATTCCACCGGGGAACCGCCCCAAATGGCGACGGCCGGATAGAACCTCCTATATAAGGACTTATTTGACCCCTTTAATGAACTTCGAGGACCAAACTGATCTTTTACTTGTTTTTTAATAGAAAATCACAGGAGCATACAAGTTTACATCATTTCAATGCATTTGTTATGCATCCCCAACAAGTTGCACTTTTGATTTCTTAAGAATGTCCTAAAGGCGCACAATTGCATTTATCTTAATTATATATGTGAGACTCTATCTTTAGCATTAAACTACGTACTACTAGGATTGTAGTTATTAGTCTTCAAGTCAATATAAACAGGGGATTACATTTTGTAGATGGTGGATCAGGGTCTGCATGAACGCTTTCAAGAGTTTGATGATGTTGACGTTTTTTTAATGTTTGAAAGTTTCATACTGTTTCTTTTTATTATGATAACTTGCACCCTTAACAAATTTCCAAGAAGGAATCTAAAATGAAATAAAAAAGCTGCCTCTTTAATAGTCAGTGTGTTGAGGGATGATTGTTGGTCAAGCTATGAGATGAGTTGGAGCAATTTGATAGGGACTTTACTAATATGAATAGAGGAGATAAATACTTTAGTAAAGTGTATTCTAGAAGGAAGTAGGGTTGTTATTAGTCTAATCTGTTGTGAGCTAATAACTACCGGTTGTTTAACCTCCCTTACTATAAATAGAATACGGCTGGGAGTTGTAGGGATTTTTTTGGACTTGTAGCATTTTGGGGGCCTTCGGCCATTGTTGCCTTTACTGAATAAAGTTGCCTTGAGTTCTTGATTCCATTTTTGTGTTCTGTTAGAATAATCTGCAGGATCTAACACAATTTATCTGCATCCCTTGTGTAGTTGTCTTGATCAATCTTTTTAAATCACCCTGTGCCATTGCTAGGGCTATGCTAGCGCTCTTTCTGATGCCCATGTTAATCACCTAGAAGACAATATTTAATACTCATTCCTTTACTTTCTTATTATGCACACAATCACACTTCATCCCAAGTAATCAATAATGTTCATTTATCTTGTTTTCATTTCTTCACAAAATAGTCATATTTATTCCCTTGATTGTATGCGTGTATTAACTTTTTTACCAGGTTTAGTATTTCGTTATAATTTTCAGGTGGATTTGGATCGTATTTACTTTCAATGGATGAGAAAACATACCAGCTGATCGGAAAAGATTATCCTGGCAATAGGGCAGAGGATGTGAAAAATCCAGGGTTGTTATGGATGATGAGTTTTATATTTGTTGTCAGTTTTCTTGGCCTTTTCAGCCTTGTCCCACTTCGCAAGGTGTTCCATATACTATTGTTATTTAGCTTTACATTCAATACTTTAATTTATTATCTTCTCAAAATGACTGCACTTTCTCAGTATTAGGTGATTCATAATTACTCGTACACTGTTTTCCTTTGCTTGAGTTCTCTACATATTTGTCATGTGCTGAAACCGTAGGAGCACTCAGTGTGAGTGCATGTCAGATAGTTAATGTGGTTAAGTGATCCATTCACTATCATGAGCTTGATATGGCCGCTGATTCACTTTCCTCTGATTAAGTTGTAGTCAAATACGTGTTCTGAGCCTATACGTGAGATTTTTTTTTTTAATTTCCAGAACTCTGCAATTTCAGGTAATGGTTCTGGATGATAAACTAACATACCCCAGTGGTACTGCCACGGCGATGCTAATAAATAGCTTTCACACACGTACTGGAGCCGAACTTGCAAGGCAAGTTATCTTAAAGTTAACTTCCACGGTAGAGGCTTGAATAGAGTTTTTGATGCAGATAAAAAAATGTCAATTTATCCTTGTTTTACAGGAAACAAGTGAGCTGTCTAGGAAAATACTTGAGCATTAGTTTCTGCTGGAGCTGCTTCAAATGGTTTTTTAGTGGTATCGGTGATTCATGTGGATTTGACAATTTTCCTTCCCTTGGGTTGCCATTGTTTAACAATACGTGAGCTGCAGCCTTTTCTTTCTTCAATTTTTTAATCGAAATCACTTTTTGTGTCAATATATTATTCACGTGTTTAATTCTGCTATTTCTTATCGTTCATGTCTATCATTTCCTCCCAAAGTGTCTATGTGAATGTGTCATTTAATATGTAATCAAGGTGTACTATTTTACTTGTCCTTATATGTTGTTTTTGAATTTGGTTATCTGCTTTTACTGTATGTTGGGGAGGTGATTACTTTTGTTTCTTAATTTCATGGTAGGCCCTATATTCACTATTGAAATACCCCATCTCATAGATTTAAAAGTTTTACCTTAATGAAGAACTTTTGACTACTATGACTAGTAAAGTAGTGAACGTAAGTCTCAATATTAATTACTTACCCAGAAGTTACATAGTAAGGATGTTTTTACTTGGACTGGTTTTAGTCCCAGACTAGACCAGACTTAAACAGACCAAACTAGACTTCCTTAGTTATAAAATACAAAGAGACCAGACATTTACCAAACCAGTTCAGACCAGACCAGACTTATTAAAAGCCCTCACTTTTCTGTTCAAGGGACAAATCAGATCCCAAGCAAGGAGGTGATTTTTACTATAAAAATAAACATAACGTAGTGTTCCATCTCACTTTGCAAATATCAAAGCTCAAAGAAAAGAACAGCGACACCACATGTTCACCCATGTGTACTATTATGACTCGTATTTTGATGACACTATTATATAAGTCTGAAGGACCTTTATGACATTTTGCATCTTTGCCTATAGATTTGCACTATAATATACCCCCTCCGTCCCTTAAAGCTTTGCCAAGTTTGACCGGCACGAGGATTAATAAAGTAAAAACTGTGTGGTTGAGTTTTGTGCAGAGGAGAGAGAATTCACTGGAACCACAAATTCTTTACTTAAAAGGGAAAGTGGTAAAGTTGATGGGACATCTGAAAAAAGAAAGTTGACAAAATTTTAAGGGACGGAGGGAGTACTACGTAATAAATAGTTTTTATTTTTTTCATAAATGTTGGTTTTTTCCAGAAAGCAACTATTTTCCCTGTTTTCAAGCACAAGCCAACCTCGGAGCTTTTCTATTGTCTTCTTTAATCAGTAATATACAAATATCATCATCAGTATTATACAAATATCTATTCTAAAAAATATTCTCTCATAATCCTATTACTCCTGACCTTCCGTCATGTGCAATGGAGTCGAAGACTCACTATTTTTTGGCTTGGGAATATGATAGAATAAAGCAAAATGACTTACTAAATTGTATGCGCTTCTTTGTTATGAAGCAATATTCACTCTATGCAATTTTCGGCGTGATTTTCGGTATGGGCCATACGGAAAAAATCTCCCTGTGCTTTAGTACATGGGTAAGACTGGATACATTTGACCCCCCCTTACCCCACCGAAGGTGTGGTAGCCTTTGCGGCACCGGGGTAATGATGATAATGATGATGATGAATCCTACTACTCCTGACTCCAAAGCATATGAACTCCTCCTTCACGAGTTGGGATGTTTTTACTTGGACTGTTTTCAGTCCCAAACCAGACCAGATCAGAATAGACCAGACTTGGACAATTATAAAATACATAGAGATCAGCTGGTTGTGAGGTTACCGTGCCTAGAGGGAGGTCTCGAGTTCGAAACCAGCTAGGCACACAAGGGTGCGAAACTCAATGGAGTGAGTTTCAGACCTGCTTACTCCAGGCTCCCCCCAACCCCCCTCCCCAGACCCCCCGGAGTAAAAAAAAAAGACATTTACCATACCAATCAGACCAGGTCAAAAAATTTCAGTCCAAGTAAACACATCCTTGATTGCCAATAATCATCCCAAGTCAATTGATATGCTTGTCCCTCTCTGTAAAACAAAGCATCCTTTACATTCTCATTTTCTTGTGGCAATAATCTTTCAAGATTGTGTGTTAGATATATATATTCCTGGGTTGATTATCTAGTTTATGTTTGCTGGTTACAATCACACATATTTGCATACATATTTGCTTGTGTGTGCATCTGCACATATGTAGTTATTCATTATATAGCCTATTTAACAGTGCCCCATGATACAGGTTCTATTTTGACTTCAGTCCTACGTACATTGGGTGTGGCCTTATCTGCTCTCACATAGTCAACTGTTCAGTTCTTCTTGGAGCAATTATATCGTGGGGTTTCCTTTGGCCATTTATTTCTCAGCGTGCTGGTGATTGGTATCCATCAGATCTTGGGAGCAGTGATTTTAAAGGTCTCTATGGCTATAAGGTAAGTTCTATTGGACATGGTTTTTGAGTAAAAGTTAGATCTCCTCCCCACTTATCTTTTATATCAATTAAATCAAAATCGTTTTTTATGGAAGTGTTGGCCTAGGGAACTGATAAACATGATGTACTAGAGTCAAGATATTGTTGAATATATCTTCAATACAGGCTTTTTTATCAACAATATATGATCAGACCATATTTCCCGCTTGTGTATTTGTTTCCAGGTTTTTATAGCTATTTCTCTTATTCTTGGTGATGGTGTTTATAACCTGATCAAGATAATTGTAATCACTGTAAGGGAAATGTGCAGAAGTAGCAGCAACCAGAATAATCTTCCTATGACCGCAGAGCTCTCAGGTGAGGTTGATGGAAACTTTTCCCTACCCCTGTAATAATTGCTTTAGGTAGTCTGAGTATAGCTCAAGATAGATAATAATTAGAAAACTGTAGAGCATTCTGTTCAATGCATAATGTACACCCAAGTCACATTCTTGCTTGCTATATCTGAAAACTGACCCAAAATGCGCATTCTAGAGGAGGCTCTCTATCTCCTCATGTCATTTCCAATTATCTGGTTTGGTCCAAGCTGCAGTCACTCCTCACTCTAATATTAACATTCCTTGTGTCATATTTTGAAGACGAAACCTTGAGCCTATGGAAGATAAATAGTAGGCTAAGGATTAACGAAGCATTTGCAAAGGAAGGTAGTGATGGCAGCTTACAATGAGGTAGTCATGTTAGGTTGAAGGATTTATCAGCCGTTGGAATCCAATAGTATATCAGACTGAGCCGTCCGTCTGGCAGGGATGTAGATAGAAATTATGTATTTTGCCATACAAATTATCTATCTTTTCCATCCTATGAAGGTTTTTTCGTTTATTTGAGAGAGTTTCAGTTTATTACACCTTGATATGATTTTTATGATTTGGTCTAAGCTGGTCTAAATATTTATTGACTAATCTGATAAAAATCTTACTGGGCAGATGCTGATTTTTCTGATCTTGTCGATTTTTATTGTCTCAAATGCGCCCTCCGTATTATATTACTTGTCCTTATTAGGTTTTCAGAAAGAGTAAGAGAAAAATAGTAGAGATAGTAAATAGCGGAGAAAGAAGTGTAAAAAGTATGAAGGATAAGATTAAGTAGTTGGAAAAGTACTGAAGAGAAGATGAAAATGTAAAGCTAAAAGTTACCAAAACTGGAAAATGAATAATAAAATACTTTTTAGAAAAAATAAGTAACAACCATAATCATACGTAGGGACTAGTGTGATGATCTGAATCTTTCTTGTATGGGGGTTTGATTTGCTCTCGATCTTCTTGGTTTGGTCTGAAGTCTGAGATAAGTGGTCTAGTCTCGGATTTGATTATGGGTAATAAGAAAAAAATAAGAACATAACAAAACCTAAATCTTCTTGTAGTATCTGAGGTTTTCTAACGATTCCAATTGATGCATCTACAGATGGTAATACTTCCAAGTCACAACTTGAGCAGACAAAAAGAGACGTATTTCTGAAAGATGGGATACCGTTATGGGTTGCAGCTTCTGGATATGCAGTATTAGCTTCTATATCTACAGTCACAATGCCAAATATCTTCCCTCCACTTAAGTGGTATTTAGTTCTTTGCGCCTACATAATTGCCCCTGCCCTTGCCTTCTGCAATTCCTATGGTACAGGACTTACCGACTGGAGTTTGGCCTCAACTTATGGGAAGATTGGTCTATTCACAATCGCTGCATTGGTTGGTGGAAGTGGAGGTGGGGTTATAGCTGGGTTGGCTGCCTGCGGGGCCATGATGTCCATAGTGTCTACAGCTGCTGATTTGATGCAAGATTTCAAGACTGGTTACCTCACACTGTCATCGGCTAAGTCAATGTTTTTCAGTCAGTTAGTTGGCACAGCAATGGGATGCATTATCGCTCCACTCACATTTTTCATGTTTTGGAATGCTTTTGACATTGGGTCCCCTGACAGTCCATACAAAGCACCATATGCTGTCATATACAGAGAAATGGCCATTCTTGGAACTCAGGGCTTCTCTCAACTCCCTAAGCATTGTCTGGTTATATGTTGTGGATTCTTTGTAGCAGCTCTGGTCATAAACTTACTGAGAGATCTAACCCCACCAAAGGTTTCACAGTTCATCCCCATTCCAATGGCAATGGCGGTGCCATTTTATATAGGTGCTTATTTTGCAATTGACATGTTTGTTGGAACAGTGATCTTGTTCGTGTGGGAGAGGATTAATAGAAAGGATGCCGAAGATTATGCTGGGGCTGTTGCTTCTGGTTTAATTTGTGGTGATGGGATTTGGACTGTTCCATCAGCCCTTCTCTCCATATTTAAGATCGATCCGCCTATCTGCATGTATTTTGGACCTTCTGCGACTACCTGATAATTGATACTCCGCAAAAAGTAGGAAACAATAGCTTTTGCTTGTTTCTTGAATACTGGAGTGGATCGGAATGCTGCTCCGAGCAAGGTCCCTTCAAACTCTTAGTTTAGCCTGTACATTTTGCATGTGTTGTAATATTATTTTAGTGCATGTTTGGATACTTTATGAAACTAATCATTCCTTATTTGTCCTTAATCCTCAAGTGTTAATGTGTATGAAATTTAAAACACTTGTGATGTGCCATTTAAGCTTTTGTAACTGTTATTTGTATTGTGTATATCAAGCACAGACACATACACATGTTTGCTTCAAATGATGCATTGATATTATGATGAGAAATGAGAATTGACCATATAAAAGATCATCAAAAGTTGAGGGTTGAGATTTACATATAGATTTATAAGAAACAAGGGTGACCTACCTTGGAAGATTTTTTAAGGATGAAATGTGGCATCAGCTTTGAAAATATGTCAATATGCAAATGATGTGCCACTGCTTTTGTAACTGTTATTTGTATTGTGTATATCAGGCACAGACACATACACTGATACACATGTTTGCTTCGAATGATTAATTGATATTATGATGAGAAATGAGAATTGACCATATAAAAGATCATCAAAAGTTGAGGCTTGAGATTTACATATAGATTTATAAGAAACAAGAGTGACCTACCTTGGAAGATTTTTTAAGGATGAAATCATGAAATGTGGCATCAGCTTTGAAATTTGAAAATATGTCAATACGCAAAGGATGCACCTCTCTATATTTGCAACTAAGATTATTATGGAGTGTTACCAAGTGCATCATGTAAGATATTATGATACCTTAGACTAGGCATGGACCCGGTTCGGGCCGCCCGGCCCGGGACCGGCCCGGCCCACCACTGTGCGGGCCCAGAACCGGCCCGGTTCTCGGGTCCGGGTCCGGGTCCGGGTCCAGGTCGGGCCTAGGCCCGGTGGGGGGGGCGGGTCCGGGGTCGGGCCTTGTATTTGGCGAACCGGCCCGGCCGGGTCGGGCCCGGGCCCGGGCCAAAAATTGTTTTTTTTTTTTTTTTTCATTTTTTTGGGCTTTATTGAGTTGGGCTTGATGTTTAGGACCGGTTTGGGGGGTTTGGGGGGGTGGGGGGGTGAGGGGGGGGGGGAGAAAAGAAAAAAAAAATAAACTAACCGGGTGGCCCGGTCCGGCCCGGAACCGGTGGCCACCGGTTCGGGCTCGGGCCCAACAAAACAGACCCGAGGCCCGGCCGGGCCTAGGCCCGAACCGGGCCCAAACCGGCCCGGGTCCATCCATACCTTAGACAAGAGTGAGGCAAAGATGTAATAAACTGTAGATGTCACTTTTTTTAATTTACCAAATACTAAGTTATTTGATCAGGTATACAAACAAATACACTAAGTCAAGCTTTTCATACATCGGAATGGGATAAGCCAATATACTTATTTATTTATAGTACGTGTTAATAATCCAGAACCAAAATGGAACTAATACTTTATTCTTATTAACATTTTTCTTTTTACTAACATTTTCTGGGATCAAAACGTAGCCTCAAAGAAATGCTAAGCAGACGGCACTGATGGATTTCAGTGGAAACAGTACATTCACATGATGTTATGATCCAACCTGGACTATCCATTGAGTGACTCCATGGTATTTCACGTTAGCTGATTCGAATAAAATTTGCATCATCCGCAAACCTATCACCAGCAGTTGGGGGCAAGTAGTTATGGTGAGAACGAGGTTGACCAACCTGAGCATGAGTTTCCGCTTCATGCTGGAACACCTTGACTAGAGTTTGCAGTTCTAACTTTCTGACTTCAACCTCCTCTTCGCTAACTGGCCTTTTCAGCCCCAGGTATATCAACCCAACAATGATCAGCAAAATGCCTATTAAAACAAGGATCCCTGTGAACAGACCAAATGCATATGGCGTATTACTAGCACCGGGGATTCCGTCTACGTTGATTCCAAAAAGCCCTGTTATGATCGTTAGAACGACTCCACATCCACCAAACACCGCCAAGTTATGAGTAACTCTAAGGCTTCTATCCTGGTATAAAATGGAACATAGTCAAAAGCACCACCCCTCAATCATTCATTTATGATTCATGTACTAGAGAACAAATTTGGTTCTAGAATAGATTGTTGAATACTCCGTATTTTTTAACAATTTCCCAAATCTAATAATAACCCATCCAATAAATGCTCCTTTTGTGCTCCGCTATTGGAGTTTTATGGATTCAGATTATCCATTAAATACCAGAGCGGTTGAAAGTTGAAACTATCAACCTGACTTATAAAATCATGAATTCCGGTTTTTTCATAATTTTCTTTTTATTAATTTATCCAAAGGAAATTTCATAAAAATTAATATTAAAATGATTACACACTCCGTAATGTATAATGATTCCTTGTGATTCAATGATTCAGATCCTGAATCGATAGTTTTAGCCTTTTTTATTTCTTCTGCAAAGATGGCTAACATATGAATCAATAAAACTTCAATAGTAGCAGATGGGCTTCCATATTTGTAAACAAACCTGCAGCCACGCACGAATATTGCTCTGCATGACATCCTGGATAGTAAATAAGCGTGCACGTACTGCTTCCTGTTCTTCAATCATCTCCCTTGTACTCTTCTGTATTCCTTCCAGCAGGCTTCTTGTTGCATTCCCCCTCAAATGTTGGAGCAGCTCAAAAACTATCTCCTCCCTTGCATGGAGAGACCACTTCACTCTAATAACCTGACATTCATGCAGTAGTCGGTAGGAGTCTAGGAGATGAAAAGTTTAATTCCCCGCCGCACCAACCTATGCACCTAAGATTCCTCTTTGGGTCTCTATCCTATGCACCACTTTCACATGAGTCCCTTCTCACCCCGGAATATTCTTTATGAGATCCTAATGAAAGATACAATTTAGATGCATAACTGATAATGTGCAGATCAACTTCAATTTTTAGATCCATCCACAAAGGATTTTATTTTACTGATGTGGATACAAACATCTGAGCCAGGGAAGAATTGGTCCGAGACTGACATTCAAAGTGGTTGATCAGGTGGCCTGTGCTATCGTGACTGACTTGCAATTGAATCTAGCAGCCCTATCCATTTTATCACTGTTATTTACTTATTCAGTCTATTAAGATTCTATATTTCTATTTGATTAATATTAGTAGCTTTATGTTTTTTATGATTAGGAGTCTTACAGTAGCTATTTAAGATTTTAAGGGTCTCAGTTTTGATCAATAAGCAGTGGATCGGTAGGCTTATCTGCTTCCACATGCTGGTCAACGCCCAGCTTTAGGCCGATCATTTGGATTTGGCCGCGCAGGGGCACCACGTGGATATAACTCTCAACCTCGTGCTTAAAAAAATAACCCGCCAGAACTGATCCATCCAAATGTGATATTGGAGACTCCATATAATAGATCATAAGGGAATGTCCAGGCTGAGACAAGTTTTTTTTTTTTTGAATAGGCTGAGACAAGTTATGATGCGCAATTTCATCATCAAGAGTTATCACACATGCTCATCAAAACATGTCACAGTGGACTCTTTAAGTTTCTCCCCAATATCATGAAGAAACTAACGCCTCTATGAATGGGTTGAAATGCAAACCTGTCTTGATAATCTCCTGATTTCCTGGTTAAGGATTATGCCAAACAGGTTTAGATCTTCCTGGTTCCTCCTACACATAAAAAATCCTTGATAAAACGGTGTCTAAGTAAGGGGAATCATTTTTCCTAAGATACTAGAGAAATGCAACTTACAATACCTCACAACAAATTTCAACTCTACTTCATCAGCAGCACCAAATATTGATTTACGAAATAATCTGCACGCAGAACATAAAATTTATAACAATCTTCATATGATACTAATCAATGAGCAAATCTGGAGCATGCTGACTTGGAGCACTAGTGTAAGCCACATTGCGTTATTTCACCTATGACGTTATGAAAGAGTGGTTATTACCTGTCATCCCAACGTGCTAGCCGGCTGGCTAAATGTGCGATTATCTCATGTATGGTCCGTGGTGTATTATAACCACCAGCAGAAAGAAGTTCCTGGAATGAAGTACAAACAACAAGCTAAATAGTTGAGCAAATGCAAGCTCATAGAAGATAATAAAAGTAATATAACCACAGGTATTGACACAAAATAATCTGCTGCTAAAACAAAGATCATCCCTTTTTTCATAATATATGCCTAACCTAAAACTGCATGAAATTTCAAAACTCAAAACGCAATGGCCAAGGAAACAGGGTAGGAAGTCCTTGAAGAGAAAACCTGAACTTCTGTAATTCCCAAAACGTTCATGCTTTTGGATGATCCTTTCACATGCAAAGCACTAATTAGAAAGTTCTGAACTTGAAAAGAGCGAAGTACAATTGGAATGTCGTCTTCATCATTATATGGATCACCAGCAGATTGCCCCAACAACTCAAATAGTAACCCTCCAGCAACTCTGACCGGAACCTGAACAAAATGAAAGCTCATCAAAATAATGATTTCCCTCTTTTATATCCTTGTGCTCAAGCTCTGATATTTCATTTAAAAATGGATATTAATCGGGGTCAGGCTGGAATTCAGTCCAAAAAGGAAACCACCCCCGAGGCCCCAATTCATAGAAGGCCTGACTTGTCATCCATTATTAAATCAAATCAACAGGAAAGGAATTAGGTTAAATAACTTCATCATCTATGACTCATCCCCTAAACTCCTAGAAACTGTCTCAGTTCTGACCCTCTTTCTTGAAATTCTCTTCATCACTCAACTTTTCTTTCTGAAAATATATAAAAGCCTGATTACATTTTTTGCCTAAGGCTATATTCAAGGCCCTGAAGTTAATGAACAGTTTGTCAAAGCTAAACTGCAAGACGAGCTAAGGAACTTTTCTACCTCGTAGAGCAGGTGTTTCATCTTTTCACTAATCAGCCGACTCTCATCTCTTAAAGCAATGCTAATTGCTGGATGCAACCAATCAGCATTGCTAAGCCATGATTCAACAGAAGGATGAGCAGCAGCGACATGACACCACCATATGGGCCCTGCAGGACGTTCCCAGTATGGAATAGCTACGTCGGCAACAGTTAGGTCATTTTCCTCACCCCTAAAATCAAACTGCTGATCAGACCATCTAGAATCAACCTGCACCATCTGAACAAGTTCTGAAATTCTAACCCAACCAATAGGAACCCAAAAGCTTCCAGAGAGTCTGTCCACAGCATCCACTGGTGCATTATCCTGATTTCCCAACACTATTGGAGTGGTAAATTCATGTCCTCCATGAGTGGACACTTCTGTTTTAGCATATCTATTATCCGTCTCAGTGTGCGAAAAGCTTTTGGAATAAGATCCTTTCCTGCCGGTTCTGCTTCGTCCATGAACATATTCAAAAGCACAAATAAGCCCATCAGTCCATAACTCATTCCTCTGCGTAGGATCATTATAGCCATGCCCCCTATCGCTCTCAGCCTTCTTTGACCTACCAGGCTCAGATGAGTGGTCCTCACCCATGGTCACAGTTGCTGAATAAACTACGCCTAGAAAAATCAGCACAAGTTACACATTTGGTGCAATATGCATTAAATAGAGTTTTTGCACAAGCTACACGCAAATAAGCATTTCACACTCAATAGAACAGCACTACGGCCAGATATTCCCACAAAGTATACGCCAATCAAGCTGATTCATTTATAGATTACTCGTTAATTGCGGGAAGCAATAGTGTTGAGGCAATGGAAAGGAACCGTGACAGTTGTAGAAGAAGCAAAAGATGAACTGTGGATAGAGAACCCGGATTCTTTTTTATTTCCCGAAGCAAAAGATGAAAAGCAGAGGTTGACTGATATATCAGCGAACAGTAATATGCTTGCTTTGCTTTCAGAGAAAAACGCGATCAACTTCGCACTGTAAACTGTTCTTCACGATGAGAGCTGGGATTCGACTTGTTAGGCTCTGTTTGGAACTCTATTTATAAGTGCTTTTGGCTTTTTTTTAAAGAAAAAAGCACTTATTTTATCAAACACTACCAACTTTTACTATCTCGATTTTCGTGTAGAATCTAATTTTTACTTTTTCTATTACACAAAAAGCACTTATTTTACCAAACACTACCAACTTTTACTACGGGATAAGGGTCAGTTTGGTCCTCGAAGTTGCAAAAAGGGGGTCAAATAAGTCCTTATATAGAAGATTTTGTCCGGACGTGCCATTTGAGGTGGCTCCCAGTGGAATTTTTTGATGAAATTTTTTGAGCATCTTATTCATTAAGTCTAGTTTACTCATACCAAATTTCAGATAAAAATTCAATCGGGAAGACATTCAAATGAATTCTTGAAGATAACTGTGCCGTTAAAAGCGCTGTTATCTTCAACAATTCATTTGAATGTCTTCCCGATTGAATTTTTATCTGAAATTTGGTATGAGTAAACTAGACTTAATGAATAAGATGATCAAAAAAATTTATCACAAAATTCCACCGGGAGCCACCTCAAATGGCACGTCCGGACAGAATCTTCTATATAAGGACTTATTTGACGTCATTTTTGCAACTTCGAGGACCAAACTGACCCTTTACTCCTTTTACTACTAATCACTTTTTCCCAAAAAGTGCTTTTATTTAAGCACAAGTGATTGCAAACAAAGCCTTAGTTACTCTTCACACCATATGCTTTCTCATCAGTGCGATGCAAGGTCGAAATAAATATCTTTATATTAATTTAAAAAATTGAAATAAAAAATGACACATCAAATATTTTCCCTCCAGGGACAACAAAAAAATCATTTTATTCCACCTAAGATAACATGAAAACATTTCAATATTTTGAAGCACTTCCTTATAAACAACATTTGTAGTCTCATTTGAGCTTCACCGCTATCCTATAGAATTGTTTATATCCATAATAATTTCCAAAGTAGTACTCTGTAGTATATATGATGTGTTTTCACACCACTACATTATTGCCCAATACTCATACAATATTAAACACACTTGCTCAACATCACTATGGATTAACTTCATCAATCTTCACTCTTGTGCCATCTTTCTCTACTTTCCCAATGTTCTCCACTTAAACACTCGTACTATAAATGTTAATATATTATTGGCCCAAATAGGCTTTGTATATTAATAATAGTTGACAACCTATTCAGCAACCCACTACTCTTACTCCAGTTACCAGACTTGGGTTATTTCTCATGTTTTGAATCTGTCCAGATTCATTATTTGAGCAAATAATGTGATGTGTGTGATTGTCCCTGCATATGTGCCAACCCATGTCAACCCATACTCCTCTAGCTAATAAACCAAACCCCTCTGTTCCATGTTGACTTCCTAGCATGTGCAATTGTTTTTTGAAAGTCCGCAACACCTTCTTCCTCTTCTCAAAGCTAATAGACCTTTGAGAGTGTGGTGAGAAAATGAGAAACCAGCTCTCTGTGAAGCTGAGTAAGAGTAGTGTTGGAAGGTAGAATAGGTTGTTGCTCCCTTAGCATTAGTGTGCACAAAGAGACCGCCGGAAACCGACCTCCGGCATACTTGAGCCGAATCCGGCAAGACAGAAACGGATCCACAATAGTGGTATCAGAGCCAAGGGCTGTCTCCGCCGTCGATTTCGCTGAATTCCTACGTACGCCGCCGTCCGCCGCCGTCCGCCGCCGTCCGCGTCGTCCGCCGTCGTTGACCGCCGTCCGCCGCCGGTTGAAACTTCTGGAAGATCTGCCAGATCTGAGTCGTGGTTCTTTGGTGCTGCTAGAACCTTACCGCCCCAACCCCGTCCGTCGTTAGTCGATTCCGGGGCTCGTGGGTTGTAGCCGCTGGAGCTACCGTCTGCCTGGAATCAACGCTTAAGGACTGCTCGTGACTCGCCCAGACCCTTCACACCGGGAATCGTTTGTCGATTTCAAGGTCACTGTTCATCTTCACTGGGAGTCGCTTCCCGTCACGGAGTTTAGAGCTCGTTGCCGGAGGTTGCCGTCGCAGGGAGGGCGTCGTTCGTCGCTTGATTCGCAGTCTGGAGCCATTCATCGACTCGAGTTGAAGTTTGGAGGGTGGCTGAACAACTGCGGCCTTTTGTGCTAGTTGATTCTGGACCAGGGAAGAGTAAGGACTAACTGTCACAGGGCTGAGGTTTTTTGTCGTTGTTGGCTTTTACGTGAAGTTGGCTTCACGGATTTGGGCTGACCTACTGGCTGGAGGTGTTGCTACTTGCTATTGCACCTGGAAGTTTACTTGGGCTGGACAACGTAGATGCTCAACACAGTAGGCTAAACATGGTCACAACACTGTCAGTCAACACTCCATAATCCTTTTGTGGGTGGGTAAGACCCAAACACTCTCCTAGTGTTTGGCTACAGTAAGTTTTCTTTAAATGAAATTTCATTTCCTATTTTTTCATTTAATTTAAACTGTTAAAATTTATTGTTGATTTAATACTTGCTAGAATTATATTTATTTGTGCTATTGTTTAGCCCTATAAATATTGAACTGTTGTTCCAGCTATAGTTGCATTTTGTGTGTGTGTGTTAATTTTCTGTGTGAAAATGTCTGCATTAATCAATACGGAATGGCTCCATTTAATGGAAAAACTGATTTTAGCATATGGAAACAAAAAATAAAGTGCATATTAATTCAACAAAAATCATATAGGGCCATTAGTCAAACCTATTTGACTTCCGATACGGAAGAGAAAAAAGCAAAAATGAATGAAAGTGCATGTTCTGTAATTTACTTGAACTTATCTGATTGTGTGCTCGGAAAAGTAGGAATTTTAGAATCTGCCAAATCTTTGTGGGATAAACTTGAAGAGATTTATACTGAAACTTCTCTACCGAGTAGAATGTTCTTACTTGAAATTTTTTTCAAATTTAGACTTGACATGTCTAAAGATATTGAAGAAAATCTTGATGTTTTCACAAAACTTATTTCCGATATTAAGTTGTCCGGTGACAAACACATAGATGATTATACTCCCATTGCTTTATTGAATGCCATACCTGATTCTTATAGTGATGTTAAATCTGCCATTAAATATGGTAGAGATAATATAACGCTAGATATTGTTGTTAATGGTCTTAAAAGCAAAGAGTTAGATTTAAAGCAATCTAGGGGAAGTAAGAATTTGGGTGAGGTGATGCATGTTAGGGGTAGACCTCAGAATAGGTCTCATAACCAAAAACATGCTAGTAATGGAGAATCAAGTTTTAGGAAGAATTCTGCGAATAGGAAGGGTAGATCTAAGTCTAGATCTAAAGCTAGAAAATGCTATAATTGCCATGAATTTGGTCACTTCATTAAGGATTGTCCTAAGCCTAAGAAAAATCAGCATAATGAACATGCTAATGTGGCTTTTGGTGAAGAAAAAATGGGTGATATTTTTATGGTTAATAATCTTTGTGATCATGCATGTGTTAATTCTGTGCTTTCTAATTCCCTATGTGAATCTGATTGGTTAGTTGACTCCGGTTGTACTTTTCATATGACTCCCTTTGAAAATCTTTTTTCAAATTATAAGAAAATTGAAAATGGCTATGTGTCTATGGCTAATGGAAAGAAATGCAACGTGTTAGGAACTGGTGATGTATGCCTTAGATTTTCTTCTGGCTCTGTGTTCACTTTGAAAGATGTTAGGCATGTTCCTGATTTACGTTATAATTTGCTTTCATGTGCATCCCTTGAAAATGAAGGTTTTGAGGGAAAATGGGGGAAAGGGGTTATGAAAATCATGAAAGGGTCTCTTGTTATTTTTACGGCTGAAAAGAAAAATAACTTGTATGTGTGTCAAGCTGAACCTGTACCTGATTATGTGTACTCTGTGATAGGTGATAAATCTATTTTATGGCATAATAGATTAGGTCACATGAGTAATAAGAGATTAGATATTTTGCATAAAAATGGTCATTTTGGTAGTGATAAATTATCCCCTATTGAATTCTGTGAATCATGCGTGTTAGGAAAACAACATAGGGTTAGCTTCCCTATTTCTACTTTTCCTAATCAATCTAAGTGTGTTGACATACTTGAGTATTTGCATGCTGATGTGTGGGGTCCCTCTAGTGTTCCTACGCAAGGAGGGAATCAATATTTTCTTTCCATTATTGATGATTATTCTAGGAAAGCTTGGGTTTTGCTCATGAAACAAAAATCTGAAGTTTTTGAAAAATTTAAAAACTGGAAAATCATGATAGAAAACCAAACAGGAAAGAAAATTAAAGCCCTTAGGACAGACAATGGACTTGAGTTTTGTAATAAACAAATGAATGATTTATGCGCTACTTGGGGTATAAAAAGGCATAAATCTGTTCCTTACACACCCCAACAGAATGGGGTTGCTGAAAGGATGAATAGATCTCTCTTAGAGAGGGTGCGGGCCATGTTGGCCACATCTGGGCTCTCTAAGAAATTTTGGGGGGAAACGCTTAGTACCGCTACTTATTTAATTAATAGGTCCCCGTCTGTCCCCTTAGGAGGGAAGTGCCCAGAATCTGTTTTCACGGGCAAGAAACTTGATTTGACGAACTTAAGAGTGTTTGGATGTGCGAGTTATGTGCATCAAAAGATTGATAAATTGGAACCTAGATCTAAGAAGTGTGTTTTCTTAGGGTACCCAGAAGGGGTAAAGGGTTATAGTCTTTGGGATAGGAGTGCACCAGGGTTTAAAGTAGTTATAAGTAGAGATGTCATTTTTAATGAAAATGAATTTCCTTGTTTGACTTTACCTGTGCATGTTCCTCATAATGATGCTCCTAATGAGGTGGAGCAAGTGCCTGTTAAATTTCAATCTGAATTTTTTGCTAAAAATGATTTGCATGAAAATGTTCTTGAAAATTAAGGTGAGAGTACTTCAAATGAGGTGGAGCAACATGATATGCATAATGAGAATGATTTTTCTGAAAATGATGATTTCCATGACTATCAACTTGATAGGGATAGAGATAGAAGGGTTATTAGGAAACTAGAAAGATATAAGGATTGCAATTTGATTAATTGTGATATATCTGAGTTTGCTTTTAACATATTTGAATCCCTTGAATGCAATGAACCTAAGACTTTTAAAGAGGCTTTAAAGTCAAAATATTCCAAAGAATGGATTAGTGTTATGAATAGTGAAATGGAATCCCTTAAAATTAATCAAACTTGGAAACTTGTTCCTAGACCCGCTAGTTGTTCCTTAGTGGATTGTAAGTGACTATTTAAGGTGAAGCAAGAATCTGAAAATGTGAGGTTTAAAGCTAGATTAGTAGCTAAGGGATTTACTCAAAAGGAGGGAATTGATTATGCTGAAATTTTTGCTCCCATTGTCAAGTTCACCACCATTAGAATTATACTTGCTTTAGTTGCTCATTTTAATTGGGAATTAAAACAGATGGATGTAACTACTGCTTTTTTGCATGGTGATCTTGATAAGAATATTTATATGCACCAACCTGAGGGTTTTGTTGATTCTAAATTGCTTGACCATGTGTGTTTGTTGAAAAAAGCTTTGTATGGTTTAAAACAATCACCTAGGCAATGGAATATTAAATTTGACAAGTGCATGCAATCTTTAAAATTTTCTAAGAGCTCCGCTGATCATTGTCTGTATTATAAAAATATTGACTCTGCGCCTATATTTTTATTACTCTATGTGGATGACATGTTAATTGTTAGTCCTTGTTTGAAGTCTATTGAGCATGTCCAAAAATCTCTTTGTGAAAACTTTGACATGAAAGACTTAGGCGATGCTAGGAAAATTTTAGGCATAAGCATTATCAGGGATAGAAAGAAATCTACTCTAGTGTTGAATCAAAGTTCATACATTGATAAGGTTTTGAGTAAATTTTCTATGTCCGATGCTAAATCTGTGAATGTGCCTCTAGCCTCTCATTTTGTGTTAAGTAAGGATCAGTCTCCCAAGACTGAAACTGAAATGAATGAAATGAAAAATGTGCCTTATTCGAATGCTATAGGATCTGTCATGTATCTCATGGTTAGTACTAGGCCCGACATTGCATATGCGGTTAGTTGTTTGAGTAGATACATGTCTAATCCTGGAATGCCTCATTGGAATGCCTTGAAATAGCTTTTAAGGTATTTGAAATATTCTGTGGATGTTAGTTTGACATTTTCTAAGTGCTCTGAAGGTGTTAAATTAATTGGTTATGTTGATTCCAATTATGCTAATGATAGAGATAATAGAAAGTCTACAACTTCTTATGTGTTTACTCTGTGTGGTTCTTGTGTGAGTTGGAAATCTCAACTTCAACCTATTGTTGCTCTATCTACTACCGAGTCTGAGTATGTTGTTGCCACAGAAGCTTTCAAAGAAGCTATTTGGCTTAGAGGTCTTTTGCATGAAATTAATTTTCTTGACAAAAATGTGGTTATATTTTCTGACAGTCAAGCTGCTATTCAATTGTGTAAAAATCCTGTTTTTCATAATAGGACTAAGCATATTGATGTTAGATTTCATTATATTTGAGATATTGTTGAAAAGGGAATTATAAAATTAGAGAAAATTCCTTCAGAATTTAATCCTGCTGACATGGGTACTAAATGTTTACCTGTTGAAAAATTTGTTTCGTGTCAAAAGATTTTAAATTTTGATTTTGGATGAATTTTTTCTGTGTTGCATCGGTTTACTATTAACTTACCTAGTGTTTATTAATAGTTTGGTGTTGGTGTCCCTTCGAACTCGATGACCGTTATGGTAGAGTAAAGTCCTTTATGGACTCGGCAAGCTTGGTGTGTTGTCCCTTTGTGATCCGAGAATACATGGGGTATTCTCTTATATTACTTATATAATCTTTGCGATAATACTTGTAATAATTCGGCGATGATGAGTCCGCGGTTCCGTGAATTGTCTCAGTGCACTACCTTGGTCTAAAGGTGGAGATTGTTAATATATTATTGGCCCAAATAGCCTTTGTATATTAATAATTGTTGACAACCTATTCAGCAACCCACTACTCTTACTCCAGTTACCAGGCTTGGGTTATTTCTCCTGTTTTGAATCTGTCCAGATTCATTATTTGAGCAAATAATGTGATGTTTGTGATTGAGTGTCCCTGCATATCTGCCAACCCATGTCAACCCATACTCCTCTAGCTAATAAGCCAAATCCCTCTGTTCGATGTTGACTTCCTAGCATGTGCAATTGTTTTTTGAAAGTCCGCAACACCTTCTTCCTCTTCTCATGTGTGTTGTATAAATCTATCAACATTTTAATTAGACCTTTGAGAGTGTGGTGAGAAAATGAGAAACCAGCTCTCTGTGAAGCTGAGTAAGAGTAGTGTTGGAAGGTAGAATAGGTTGTTGCTCCCTTAGCCTTAGTGTGGACAAAGAGACCGCCGGAAACCGACCTCCGACATACCTGAGCCGAATCCGGCAAGACAGAAACGGATCCACAACAATAAAAACTCAATCAATCCAACAATCTTGACCTGCTGTATTTCAGTTTTGTACGTTTTTTACTTTGAAAAATAAACAATTTATTAAACTTCTAAAAATTCATAAAGAATGAATTCTAAAAATAGAAAAATAAGTTCAAAATTAAAATCTTTTTTTAAATTAAAAAATGAAAAAAAGTCATACTATCGTTTAACAATGTATTTTTTTAGAATATACAACTCATTCAAAAGAAGGTCAAAACGTATAGATTTTGACATCCTGATTGGTTTATAGGTAGGGGGTTCCATTAAGAAGTTGACATGTCTAGTTTAGTTTATGAGGTTATTGGTTCAATTTAATGATTTTGGTAATTCTTTAAGAATTATATCCCCCACCCGCCACCACCCTCTCATGGGAATTTAGATGCAAGGTATGATTTATGAAAGTCGATCACCGGCCTGCCATCATGTAAAAATACCGGACTCTTATGGTTGGGGATTTTGGAGGGGAGGGAAGGGGAGGGTTCTTATTTAAATTTAAAATAATTTTTACATTTAGACAAATTGAAATAAAATGAGGACACAATAGTATATAAAAATACATGGTTTAACTAATTATATATTTATTTGTAGTCAAAAACTAACAAATTCAATAAAATAATAAAGTAAAAAATTAATCCTACCCTTCCCTTCCCTCCAAAATCCCCCAACCATACAGGGGGTTAAACTTTAAATTTAGGTTGTTTTATACTCCGTATTATCATAACACATTTGGAGATGCGTGTGTTTTTATAAAATTTCACTTGTAGAAACAAATAGATTTGATCTTAAATCTTATAGGCAGCTAGGTAAGATACAAAAGTATAAGTAAATACGGAGTATAATGTACTCATTTGATGTTTCCTTTCTTCATGTTACGAACTCTTTTGGGATTGCAGCTTGAATATTCTTGTTTATTGTTGATCTCTCCTTTCTTCACTTCGTTATACTTTTTTTTTTTTGCGAGGATCTTCACTTCGTTATAGACTGGGCAAGTACATTCAAGTTGGGAATTTAAATTGGACAATGAATAGCAGATGCACAATTCAATCCTCAATGGACAAAAACATTCAAGACAATAGAACTCAGTTTCGAAGAAATGCCTCAAAATTGATCCAATAGTTTAAATTCTCAAAATTTTATCTTCAAATAGAATAGACCAACTACAATGACAATTTTTTCCTTGTTATATACCTGTATTTATTTTCTTGTTGGGGGTATGAAGAGAAGAGAATTCCCCTACCAAAAAACGTTTGGCGTTGTTTACATCAATTCCAATTACTTCTCGATATTTCTTGCTTAAGGTTGGACTGTGTAATTCTGCATTTCTGCCCCAGATGAAGAGCTTCAGCCGGACAAAATCATGTTGTAATTTAGCAGAGGGGAAAATAATTAAAACACCCCAAACTTTGAAGGGGTGTGAGATGAGCATCCCAAACTTGCATATGTAATTTTAATACCCCAAACTTTAAATAAAAAGTTACTTAATCACCATAGTTAAGTATTATTTCTTTCAAAAATGTAATAAACTTATGGTGTTAATTGCATAATTTAAATTATTTTAGAATTCATGAGGGCACAATTAACATTCTAAACTTCTATTGCGAAATAAATAACATTACTCCCAATCTATATAATTGCAACACTTTTACTTTTCTATTTCAAATTATGCAATTAACCCCATAAATTTACATTTTGGAAATAAATAATACACGAAAATGGTGCAAAAATAACATTTTATACACGAAAATGCAAGTGCTTACCTCACATCCCTTTAGCAGATTATAAATAATACCCTCGGCTTCCTATTTATAGAGAAACTGGATGAGTGGATGATACAGACAGAAGCTTAGGTGGAGCTGCCAAACATTAAGTACTGTTTTGGGAATCTATACGACTATATACATATGTTGTTTGTTTAGTTAATTAATCCATTTAGAAGCCTTCTTTTTATAAAGAGGGCTGAGCATACGACATAAGTAATTATGCCAGGATCAATTTATTAACATATTTTGGAATTCTCTGTTCGCATGCATTAATCGCTGCATTGGGAATCAAACATCAGCTTTGTGTGCCTACAAAACGACCAATCTGGATCCTTCTTGAAATGGCACGTTTAATCTGCATTGTTCTGGGCTTATTGACTACAAATGTATTCGCCGATACTTTTTTGTAAATTCTCAATTTGTAAATTAATTAAAAAGCTAAACTCTGCAAATTGACCACACTGATTCTAGAATGTATTCTTTTGACCACATGCCCATGCAGTTTTGGCGGGAACTTGTGCCCCAAGAAACCTTTTGTTTTATATTAAGATAGATTACTTTGAAACTTTAGAGCAAGAGATGAACAAATTACTTGTGTATTACTGTATCGTGTATTTGTTCCTGTATACGATGCCGTAACAAAATACAATTATACAATTTTGTGTAATAAATTACAATTATACTTCATATAAAATATGATTAAATTTAAATTTTACAAATTATACAATTATACTTCATACAAGTATGAAATATGATTAAATATACATTTTACACCTCGTTGATATGAATATATAAATGCAAGTGTTATAAACGTTCCATAATTCAAAAATATGGCATATAATGTGTGTCTTATACTCTTATATACGTAGTACTAATTTAATTACAAATTTAATGATAGAAAATTACTCTAAATAAGTCTAAAAATGTTTGAATATTCCCAAATTAGACTATCATGTTTTTATTTTCAAAATATAACTAATTACGGTCATGTTTTAGTAGTACCAGACTTTAACATGAAAGTATTTTTTTATACTTGGTAGTAATTACTCCTATTTTAGTTGAGAATGAAAATATGACAGTCCTATTTTGGAAATTTCAAACTTTTTTTATTCCTATTTCAAAATTTTCCCTAGAAATAATAAATCATTTGTGTAACTCTCACTTTCTTCAACAATTTAAAAATATAAACTTGAAGTAAAATGGTACCAACTTCAAATTTTCTACGTAGTATTACAATAAGGCCAAGTCAAAACAAATTGCAAGTCAAGGAGTTATGCAACAAGTTTACATAAATTTAATTGCAGTCATATTACAAAAAGCAAAAACACGATATAAAATATGAAGAGAATGCCAAACTCTTCTCAAATAGCAAATTTGATACAAAAAATTAAGGAATAAACATAAATATTTGAATTTAGTAAATTAATTAAGTCATACAGGACAAAGGAGGACATAACATACGTAGTATGTTTGCCAAAAAAACATACGTTGTATATGCTTTTAAAATTAATTAGAATAGAAGTTGAGCCTCTCAATGAGCTGTCGACCTGTCGTGATACTCGAATCTTTGATATAAGTTGAATTCAAGAGTAATATAGTAGTAATATCTAAGCTACTAAATATTATATAATCCAAATAGATTATGACGTTGAAACCAATTTATTAAACCTGACGACTATTAAATGATTAATGAACAAATAAGGCATAATGATTTCTTAAGCATTATAAATAATATTGGAATGCTAGCATTATAAATAATATTGGAATGATTTCTTAGCTTCAATTGTGCCACTGCATTAATTAGGCTTGATTTTAACTGCCGATTTTTTTTTAATAAAAGGGAAATTGAAAACTAATAATCCAACCTTTTAGCGTTCTTCTTACAATAGTCCCATTTTTTCGTTACTCATGAATAATACAACCTTTGCACCTCATCTTCATTCACTGGTCCCTGACCAGTGACCAGTTAATGACCTGTTATTCCAAATTATTTTCTTATCTTTGCAAACCATTATAACATAAATCTCATCATTCACAAAGATAATATTTTGCAAAGATATGAAAATAACTTTGAATAGCATGTCATGAATCGGTCAGGGACCATCGGATGAAGATGGAATGCGAAGGTAGGATTATTCTTGAATAACGAAAAGGTGAGACTATTGTAACAAGATCGCTAAAGGTTGAATTATTAGTTTCAATTTTCCCTGAATAAAATACATATAAATACACATAATCAGGGGCGGATCCAGAAATATGGGTTGGCTTGGACTAAAGAATAATTATACTAGGCTTAAATGTTAACAGGGTGGGCTAAACATGAAAACAGATTTGTTCCTGCGCATTTCTCCACCTCATTAGACCAAAGTCCCCTGGAGATTTGTTCCTGCGCATTTCTCCAGCTGCTCAACACAGCAATAGCATTCTTCCTTACACCTGCAACCGTGCATGATTCCCCTCTCCAAACAACATCATTCCTCACTTTCCAGATGCTCCAAAGGAGCAATATAAAATGACATAAGGCATCCTCATCTAAAGAGCTAAAAGCTCTCTGGAGGCTAGCCATCAAAGAGTTCCCTTTCACTAAATTCAAGAATCCCGCTTCCTCCCAAACTCCGTTAGCTACCCTACAGTTGAAAAACAAATGATCACATGTCTCTTCTTCTGATCTGCATAAAGGATATTCACCCACCACCGGTATAAAACGACTCTTCATTAAATCAGCCATTGGTAACACTCCAAATGCAAGCTGCCAAAAAAGATCTTTATTTTTGGTGGGATCTTACACTGCCTGACCTTTGTCCAGCCGGTCCACCTTGTTGGTTGTATCTCGCCTATCAACCTTCTATAGCAACTGCATCATTTTTCATCATTTTCATTTACCCCAGTGTCGCAAAGGCTCCCACCTACGGTGTACGGGGTCGGATGTACGCAGTCTTACCCCTGTACTAAAGCACAGAGAGACTGTTTCCGGATGACCCATAGTAAAAATCGTGTCCAAAATTGCATGGACTGACTGATGCTTCATAACAAAGAAGCGCATACAGTTTAGTGAGCCATTTTGCAAACGATGGAAAATTCTATAGCAACTGCGCACGGTAAATTTTCCTTTTGGATCATCATTCCATTTATACCCGTCTTCAACCTGTCTTATGCTGAAGGGGATGCTCAATATTGCTACTCTCTTCTCTTCTGTAAACAGATTGGTAATGCGTTGGACATTCCACGATTTTTCATCCTTATTTAAGAGCACCGCGACATTCATATTTGAAACTCCCTGTGGCCACCGTGAGGTTATTCTCCCCGACTCTATTCCAGGGACCTAGGCATCCTTCCAAACCCAAATCTCTTTGTCGTTTCCCACTCTTCTCCGGGCTCCAGCGCGCACAACACCTTGACCCGCTAGAATTCTAAGCCAAATATCGGATGGGTTACTCCCTAATGTCGCTTCAGTAAATGAACTCTGGGGATAGTATTTAGCCTTAAGCACACTTCCAACTAGTGAACTTGGCTCGGTAAGTAATTTCCACCCTTGCTTTCCCAACATCAGGGCCGGTCCTGAGATTTTGAAGACCCTGTGCGAAATTAAATAAAAAGGCCCTAAATTATAAAAAAATATTACCTCCATATCAATGTTAAAGTTAAATCCTCTCTATTGATAATTAATTCAATTCTAATATGGAGTAATTAAATTTACATATTCAGAAACTACATTAAAATTTCTACAATGCTCCAAAATCCAAGATAAAATTTAAATAAGAATTAATATCCCGATTAAGTGAATAAAGTCAATTTTACAACTCAATTTGGGATCGATGGAATATTATATATAATACATGTAGTGAAAATAATACACTTAAAAATAAAAAAGTAATTATAAAATGTAATGAAAAACTTATCTTGATTGCTATAAAAAAATCATAATAAAAGAAATCCAAATTAATAAAAATTGATATAGATAACTACCAATAATATTCGGAGTACGGTAGTATAGTAATGTAATAGCAATAATACTGTAGTTAACTTACCAATAAGTATATATACGTATAGGAAAACAATAAACGGATGTAATTTTTATTGATTTCGCTCAAGTATTTGTACTAATAATGTCCATCATATTCCGACTAGACAACTTGGTAAGTTGGGATGTATCCAGCTTCTTTCTGTACATAACCTGAGTTCGATTCCCGCATGCTCCATGTTTTTTATTTGGCTCAGAACAGTTAATTACTCTAACTATTGCCTATTGGGCCCTCCGTGAACTTGGGCCCTGTGCGACCGCACTGCCTGCACAGCCCCTGGGCCGGCCCTGCCCAACATCGCTATGTTAAACTCTTTTAATCTTTTAAATCCCAGCCCCTGGATTTATGCAGGCACATCTTCCTCCAATCTGTCCATCTCACCCCCTTCCCAATAAAATCATTACCTCTCCACCAGTACCCATTCATCAGTCTCTCTAATTCAGAGATCAAAGTGTCTGGTAGGAGGAAAACATTCATGGCGTAAGTGGGCATGGCTTGAATAATAGTCTTTAGCAAAATTTCTCTTCCTGCTCTGGACATGAATCTATTGTTCCAGCTCGAAAGTCGTTTGATTACTCTTTCTTTGATATAAGACAAGATGTCCTTTTTCTTCCTCCCGACCAGTGCAGGCAAACCCACATAGTTGCCCATCATCTCCACTTGATTAACCTCCAGAACCGCTCCTAACTCTTCCTGCACTCGGTGCTATACATTAGCGCTGAAACATATACTAGATTTGTTAAGTCTGCCCTGAATAAGTCTCATATTGTAAAAGAATCTCCTTAACGACTTGAAATTCCTCCCTCCTTGCTCTAAAAAACAGATAACTATCGTCCGCAAATAGTAAGTGAGAAATTTTAGGAGCCTATCTCGCAACTGCTATCCCATGCAACTGTCCCAAAACCTCCTGTTTTCGGATTAATACACTCAACCCTTCAGTGATGATAATAAATAAATAGGGTGACAAAGGATCTC